GCAACGAACTATTGTAATTGATAAAAATTCATCAAAATCTTATTTCCACTTGAACAGACAATGTATAAAGAATGGTTTTTGGACATCTAAACTGTTCCTTGAGATTTTGTGGTAGTTTTACTTTTGTTTTCTTTTTCTTTGTAAAGCGGTCAGAAAAAATTGGATGTTTACATATTGTAATTTTTTTGTTTCGATCCACAAATTAGTAAAATTAAAAATTATAACTTTTGAAAGTTAAATTCGAAAACAAAATAGTTATCCAAAATCCATGAAAGAAAATTCAATAATTAAATTTCATCATTACCTTTTACTTTTATATGTACTAAATAACAATCTATAACCATAAAAAATATTTTTATGCTATATAACAAATTTCATGTAGTTTTGTTAAATTGTTCGTCCAATAAGCTACTTATGCATATATAACATTTTAGCTACAATCCTAAAGTTTTTAACTAGTTTCTTAACCATAAAGTCATAAACACTTCATGCATAAATACAGCTTCATCATTTTTCAGTTTTAAGCAACCTTCTCAATTTTCAACTAATTGTTTCAAACAGAGCTTTCATGAACCAGGGTTCTAAATTTTCAGAGAATTTACACTTCATGCATAAATACAAAGCACCTCCACAACAGATAGGAAGCATTGCTCCTACCAAGAACCAAGGTTCTAGCTAACATTACTCCTAAGAAGAAATAACAAAACCTAATAAAATAACTTATTCATTTTTTAATCGAGCTAGGCAACATTAAAATACTAATCTATAATGATAATACTAATATTTATTCAAATACATGATTATTAAAACACTTTCTAAAGAGAGCCTAATAACTATATCAATATGAAAATCATGCTTGTGAAGAAAGCCAAGACCACTTTCAATGTTAAGTGTAAAGATCCTCCCTTTTTACTTCCGCCTTTTCCAGTTGGTGGAGAGACCTTAATCGGCAATGAACCTGGATCGGTGAATGTTTGATTTAGTTATATTCGATAGCTTGTATAACTTTATAGTAGTGTAGGTAGAGTGAAACTTACAATTATAATTAGTCCATCCAATTCGTTGTTTAGCAAGATCATAGACAAAAATTTTGTCTTTTAATACAATGTCTGTCAGAAAAAATGTATTGTCGTGAGTAACTTAATCTTAAAGAAGAGATAACATAATCATTATGTGAATAAAGAAGAATAGTATTTTTAAATTGATTCTAAATAAGTTTTAAGATTTAATTATTTATTTTTAATTGAACTTCAATCATATCCAAAACTTATTTTAGATATCCTTTTAATTTATATCATCAATAAAATGGATAAACAGTGCAAGTTTTTTAGTGTCAATATATACCTCCTAGAATTGTATGTTGGGATTTTTGAAAGCCAAGGCAGTGCATTCCACTTCCAAACTGTAAGGCACAAATTATCATCACAATATTGAGATAAATAGTATAGAAATTATAATAACTAATGTATACGAGGAATAAAGTCATGTAATTAATCAGAGCAGCCAATCATGCCTAAAATTAACCATGAAAGTAGTTGCAAATAATGAATACAGATTCATTCTATCAGAAATTTGAAGCTTAAATACTTACAATTGAAGACGGTAAAAGGTAATCTTATGGTCTTAAAACCAAAGATGCATGGTTAGCAAAATTCAGACCGATTGGAGGAAAGATGTGAGTGACGCTTATCACACTAGAAAAGAAAGAATTGTTTAGAGAGTGTGAGAAAATCCCCTAATTTTAACATGCAATCATTACAAAAAAGTCAAGAAATAATCCACAAATACATATAAATAGTTCATCTTAACCTGTTGGTTACCAAGTAACAGCGAAATCCATTTTTATCAGTAGTGCCTACAGATTGTGGAATAGTACGAGTAATCTACACAAATAATATACTTGTCAATAATTATTATAAATCTAAAAAAAATGTTATCTAACCAAAAATCAAAGAAATACATAGAAATGTCTATCATTACCAATTAGATAAATAGAAATAATCTAACCAAAACTCACCGCGTCAATAATGGGATAGTAGGCCTCTTCGATAAAATATGCTAGAGTTGTTCCGGAATCAATGGTGGCACCTTTGCCACTTGATGTTTTAAACACTTCCGGATCAATCTGCAACATCTGCCCCTTAACAGTGATGCTCTCCAAGTTTAAATCGTAATGAAGCCTGAAATATATTCCAAATAAGTTATTAGTATATACATATTTTGTGTGTGCAGTAACATGTTTAATCCAACGTTTGCATGTTATATGACACAATAATTAACACATATCTTTTGACAGACTTACTGTTTTGGAATAAGTGGACTATAGACCATATTTGGCTCCACAGCCTCACCAAGAACCAGTAAGCCCCCACCGCTGTCATCTCCTTTGAGGCAATGAGAGAACACATTTGGAGCTACTCCTTGTGAGTGGAGCTGAGAGATGAAAGACATCTCGTGATTCCCAAACCCAAATATCCCGTCAAGCGCTGTAATAGGCGATGTCAACTTCCCAGTGTGGAGGTTGCTACAACTGGTCCAAAATACAGCAAAGTAACATTTCCAAAGTTTAAAGCTTTGAGGAAGAAAAGCATATGCAACTTAAAACATAAAGAATCTAAAATTTATTTTAAATTATAAGACTCATGATAACTCACCCAAAAAATAATGGCACAGAAGAATTTGTTACCACTGATCCCTCTACAATATTATGCATTAAATCCGAAATAACGTAGCCTGAAGTCATGCTACCTTCCATGTAATGCACTTCAAAGCTACAATAGTTGTCGTTGAGACAAAATGCATTTCCTGAATTTATACTTGCACACGTGTCATCTAAACAAGAGATGATTGATGAAGTGGATGAACCCCGAGGGTCAAAATAATTGAGCTTAAGCAAACAATGATGAAATTGATCTTAATGTTATACAATTAAAAACATGGAATTGAATTTACAAACTAGGAAGAATGAATTTACCGGGAGTCCAGTTGTTCGAGGACAACCACTGCATGAGATACAATTAACCCATGGAATATCACTGCCAGTGTCAATATCCACATGGAATTCCCTTGGAGGAGAACCCAAGTGCATAGTTGTATAGTAAAGCCTGCACTAAGCCATATATTTCAAATATCACTCCAAGTGGTAATATGCACAAATTGTTGTGTTAAACACAAAACATAAACTTAAATCAACAACATTGAAGGAAACATAATTGGTGAACAGAAAATATCAATAAATAGAACATCTATACATGAGACAACTATTACTTGGAGTTGAGGTTCAGTTAGATAAGTGTATCTACATAAGCACTATTGACCCATTCATTAAAAATACAGTTCAGAAATTTTTTGATTGATTTATAATGATATCAAATCTCTTTCTCTTGGCACATCTACACATGAGCCTGCATTTATAAAAGGCTAACTGGAAGATTACTATATCATTCCATTTCTACATCAATTTTGTACTACTTCAAAAAGATGAAGAAAAACATAAATTAAAAGTGAAGTAAAAGAGCATAAAGAGAATTAGTTACCCCGCTAGAGTAGGATCTGAGGTTCCATTAACAGGGAGGGTGACCACACTTGAATTTAGCAGCATTCTTCCATGCCTTTTCATATCCATTTCCCTCAGTCCACTTAGTTCCATTCCATAATTAGGAAATACTCTTTTCAGCATTAGAGATTTTGGAGATGCAGAAATCAACATGCAGAACACTAGCAATGAGAGAAAAACAATAATCCTTGATTGAGAGAGGAGAGTAAAGGAACATGAGTATGCCATGACACTTCAGAGTACCAATCTGTCATAAAAGAATACTATTCAAACATATATTAAACATAAAAGAGAAACAAGAAAGAGATAAAGAGTTGTAACATGCATGCTACTTGCATTACCATTACAACCCTGTGACTAACTTATGTTTAGTTTAAGTAAAAAGTAAATATATGAAAAATTTAGAGTAGCCAAACCCAGTTTATATCTGCATCACCTTAGGCCACCTGAATTCAGAGTTACTCCAGCGTACAATAATCAATACTGCATCCACTATATAAGGAAGAGTGTGTTTTACTATGTTTTTTGCCTAAGAAAAATCATTAAATCATTGATTTGCTAACTTATTTTACAAACTGATTTTTTTTAATTAGATGAGAAAATCTAATTCATTTGAACGGAAAAGATTTTAAGAGAGTTAATTTCTATTCGTTATAATATATAATCAATCGAATGACATTGTATAAAACTCTTTTATTACCAATGCATATATTTCTTCTTATACAAAAATTAGACATATTTTATAAAAATCAGCTTCATTATTATTATTCATATATTTAGTTTTTCCATTCTATGTTAATTAATTAGTATTTTGTTAATAGAATCAATTAATGTAATTAAAAATCTATATATTTTCTTTTTACACTATAAATATATCATATTGTGTATTGCATTAATATTACTCTTAAATAAAAGTAGTAATACATATTGATGAATGGTTTTTTTTCTGCAGTTTTAGAAAATTCCTTCCTATTCTTATTTGTTGTACTATTGTAATCCTATTTTCAAATTTTGATTTTTTCTTGCAGTTTTAGAAAATTTCTTCCTATTCTTATTTGATGCTGAAATTCAAATGTTGTACTACTGTAATCCTATTTTCATATTTTGATTTTTTTCTGCAGTTTTAGAAAATTCCTTCCTATTCTTATTTGATGCTGAAATTCAATTGTTGTACTATTGTAATCATATTTTCATATTTTGATTCTATGCTGAAATTCAATTGTTGTACTATTGTAATCCTATTTTCATATTTTGATTTTTTCTAAATTTCTTCCTATTCTTATTTGATGCTGAAATTCAGTTGTTATACTATTGTAATCCTATTTTAATATATTAAGTTGCAGTTGATGTTAAAAAAAACAGCAATGAAAAAAAAAAGTTTTATTGTAATCCTATTTTCATATATTAAGTTGCAGTTGATGTTAAAAAAAACAGCAATGAAAAAAAAAAGTAAGTTTTACTCATAAACTATCACATGTATAAGTTAGTTTTACTCACCAATCACTTCATTATTTTCCAGTTTTTAGCAAACTTCCTCTGGCCATGCACAGTATTGCATGTTTTACTAGGCAAGTGAAGACTACTAAAACAGGAATGAGTACAAGTACTATGTACATATGCATCTACTACTAATGAACAAAGAGGCAAATTTACACGACCTCCAATTACAATGCAACAAAAACAAAAAGAATATGCCCTGCAAATTCCTCACCAGCAACATCTCATGTGGAAATATGCCCTGCAAATTCTACAATTGTAACATCAGACTTCTCTTATTTACTCCTCAGGAATTGATTCTCCTTCTTGAGTTCCTTGATTAATTTTGCCATCTGATTGTTATAACCACAATAAAGGAAAAGGCAGAAGATTACATGATAACACACATCCAAGTAAGATATGGTTTAACAAAGATGATGGTTGAAAATTTGAAATAGTTAAGAGAAACTGATTTTACCTTCTTAATCTCTTGTTTAAACGTTTCAAAAACCTCATTGCTTGTTGACAATGCTTCCTGACATTCAGTGCATGTAAGGAATATGCAACTATATCATCTTTAAGTAATCCTACATCCGAAACTATGTTCCAAAGCATATAGAGAAATGCATGAACAAAGGATCAGACCAGACCATTCTAAAAGAAAGACCTTGAGCAAGAAGCTAACACCTAAAAAACAAAAAAAAACAAAATGCAGAATGCAGACACAAGATGTACACAGAAACTAGTCTATCAATGGCATGCCTCAACTCAATCGATTGAAGGTGGGCAAATTCAGTCAAAATAAAGATAAAAAACCAGCATGCATTAAAAGATCACAACAGATGGTGCAGGGAATAAATAAGTTTCAGGTTGTATTTAGATATCGGGAGAACTAGAGAAGTGGGAAGGTAGTTCAGCTCAAGGAATCCTCTGCAGTAAATGCAACTGTGTGAGGATCAATGAATTGGATTCAAGCCTCACCTTTCACAAAAAGGTTAGGATTTTAGGGAAAGGAATGGGTTATTATCCACATTTGACTGAAAAAAGTATAGATAAGTAACTAGTGAAAGATATTAATAGCTTGAAGAACAAAAGTCAACACTAATAAATGAATTAACTACAAATATATGATTCCATAACTTACATAATATTTATTCAAATATACCTTTATGCAAATGACAAACACATTGTAGTAGAATAGATTTTAAATTCAAATTGTGACAGATTTAAAAATAAGGAATCAAAATAAAACCTGGAATTGTTGGAATTTTTCTCCATCAGCTGCTATAGAAAATTCTTCTCAGTTGCTAATAACTGAGATATTTGTTCTGCATATACTTTCATTTGAGACTGTTCCTGAGCCAATTTTTCCCCATGTTGCTTAATTTTTAAATCAGCAAGCTGTAGTTCCAATGACTTTTGCTTCAACTGTCAATTCAAGTGCAAAATCATTTAAACAAATCAGTTTCAAGAATCAATTAATATAACTGTATTACAAATGTAAACCACGAGAGTACAAAATAGGCATCACCTTCTGGCCATGTTGCTGCTCAGATAGTTCGTATTGATCAGCAAACTGTTTTAGCTTGTTTCTTAGCCTGTATTGAAATTAAAGGTAATTTACTTGATAAAACAAGACCAGAATGCAAAATCGGGGTGAAACAGGTGCACACAAAAGCACCATGTACCAATATTACTGATCAGATCATAAAATATCCGCATGCAAAAAAAATGTTCACACTGTTTACACCATAAAAGATGGGCCAAGCAAAACATGCCTTGTTGCTAATTTCATAGCACACTATGTGAAATATCTCTATTTTATGATAAGAACTAAACACCCATGAAAACATGCCCCAGTAAACAAGGTATATAACTAAAAAAATAACCAGAAAACAATTTAATTCTACTCGTGAATAACCAGTAAAAACTCACGATCCAAATATATGATCAGTTTTCAACCATGAGCAATTAAACAATTACAGACAGTTAAAACGAATATCAAGGATTATTGAGAGAATGAATACCTTTGAAGAAGAAGATGCTGTGCTAAAACCCTAGCCACAATAGAGAGAATGAGTTATGAGTATATCCAAAGAATGAATTTTGACTCTATGATGACCATATAGATAAAAATATTAAAATTAGAGAAAAAAATATGTGTCAATGGTGTTAGAGTTTTATATAATACAGGTCCATTATTTATCATTCATTTTTCAATCATCATTTACTTTTACAATTATTTGGTACTATGTATTGTTAAATTAACTCTAACAGGTATGATAGCGGGTGTGGATTTATATATAGTAGCTTGTTGACAAAAACTCTTGCTTTCTTCTACAGACATTTTTTGGGGACTTCCAGATACAATTTCTTAGGTAGCTAGTGGATCGTGTACTCACAAATTCAAAAATATTAAAAATAATTATGAGTTCGTTTCTTACAATTTTATATGTTATTCAGACAATCAACAAGAGAAAAATTATAAAACATAATTCAAAGTTTTAAACACAATTTAAATTGATTATTAAATATAATTCAGTTTACTTGAACAAACATAAAAATTAAATCATTACTTCAACATTATGATGTAAAATTGATTTAATAAGAACTGTTTAATCAACATAACATTAGATTATCCAACTATGACCCTAAGAAATCACTCAAGTACGCTATAGTTGGGAAGGAAGTGAGTCCAGTTAATGGTGGAACTTCGTGGATGGCTCAATATGTTCTACCTGCAGTCCAAAACATTTACCAAGATATAAGAGCACAAAAGCTACATGACCCAAAATCTAGGAAGTTGCAATTAGAACAGTTATGGGATTGATTCACATGAATAGGGACACCCATGAGTCGTATAAAAGAAGCAATTAAAAGGGTAAGTAAAATTCGTATAGAGAAAGGATAGGAATCGTTACCGAAACCTTTAGTCACTGCCAATTTCGAACCGCAACCTGGTTGCTACCATCACCGCTGAACAAACGCCATTACAAGAGGTACCTTGGAGAAGAGAAGACATGATTCCGATGAAGGAAGATGGAGAAGTGAAGTGAAGTGAAGTTTAGGGATTCATTGCTTTGTTTTAGTTGATAGGCCTACTTTCTAAAACATCATTACATTACATCTTCCACATATGATTATGAATGGGATATTGATTCTAATCTAAGTACAATTATTCATATGAATTTATGGTAGACTTGTCAAATAAAATAAATTGAGGTTGATATAGGTATATATATAATGGAAACTAATCTTTGACCTTTAGCACATATATATATAATTATTAACGAGAATGAATAGTCATGTGCTATAAATTAGATTTCACATATTTTATTCTAATAATCTATATTTATACAATTAATAAAGGGAACCAACAATCATCTTATATTTGGAACTTACATAATAAAATAAATATATCATAATCCATATCTTATTTCTAAAATTTTCACGTAAATAATTTTTATTTATCAAATTATTAAACATGATTGAATTTAAAAAAAATAGGATCCACACACATAATATATCTCATCCAAACTCAATGTATAATAAAATGTAATATTTATATATTGTTAATGTAAATATTTATACACAATCAATATATCATTTACTATTTATTTATGATATTTTTTAAAGAATCAATAATAATAAAGTATGAATGATAAATAATATAATGAAAAATTATAAAACTATGTCGGTGTATATAGTAATAGTTTTTTTTGTTGCTAATTTCTAATGTGAATTAGCATCAATAATTATTTATGTTTTTGAAAAGATAAAAAAATGAAAATTGAATATTCTCTTTGTATCTGCTTGAGAGAAAAAACTAAGAGTGAATTAGATCTAATCAATAGTGAGAGAAAGAGAAGAAAGTGTAGAAATGTCGAGCGATAGCGACGAAGACGAGCTTCTCCAAATGGCGTTGAAGGAGCAATCTCAGCGAGATGTTAACTATGGAAAATCCTCATCTGCCACCCGCAAGCCCGTCGCCAATTACGTTCAGCCGCCGCAGCCCAAGCGCGCCGCCGCCCCTCCGACGAAACAGCCGCCGAACAAAGGCAGAGACGTTGACGATGATGATGATTCCGAAGTCGAGATGCTCAGCATATCGAGCGGTGATGAGGACAATGTTAAAGATCCGGTTACGACGTCGAAGAATCGTGGAAGATCAGTGTCGGGGGATATTGATCGAACCTGGGATGGCGAGGAACCTAGTAGCTGGAAGTATGTTGATGAGGCCGAGGTATTGCTAGTTAGGGTTCATATATGTCCAACATAGTAGCTGAAACTTTTTCTCTCTAAATATGTTTGTGTATTCGTTCTCGTGAACACAGTTATGTGGTGGATTTTGGTTGTCTTTCAATTATTTTTTGTTGATGTTTTGGATAATTGAGTTGTTTAAGTTTGTACTCTCTTGTTATGCTCCATTTTGATTATCGATAGATATTAGCTTTGGTGGTAGAATTAGAGCATGTTTATGTTAGGTTTTGCATAATTCATGCAATGCGTATGGCTGTGATTCAAAGTGGTATATATCCCAATCATTTTTCCTTCTTGAGAATCTTAAAACAAACCAGCACCGTTGTGATTATAGCTCACTGTGTTTGAGTTGAGACTAATTACAAGGCATATGCAGGAAGGAGGCTGTAATGTTATGATGTTTTTCATTCCCTTAGCAATTTCTTTCTCGTCCTTTGTTAGTAGTATACCTTGTTCTTTTATCTTGAATTTACTTCATTGTTTAGTACTAAATAAAGTTCCTTTTTATTTATATAATAATAGAAATAAGAAAATGTATATTTGCTTCGGAAGTTTTTTGCGAAGGGCTTTTGAGTTGAATTGAATGGAATTATGGGAGAGAAGTTAAATGTGGTATGTTGGAACCCTCTGCTTAGTGTAGTTTTGACTTATGCTGGATCTGTTATAATGACTTAGATTATCTTCAGAATCTGAGCCTGTGTTGTACCTTCCTAATTATGTTTCTCGATGAATTTGGAGAGGTTGGACCTTGCTCTGCATGATTGCTTGCCTTGAAATCTTACCTTACTCATCTCTTCAGCGATGTTACTTTTGTATATGCATCACTCTGGTCATCTTGCTGAGTTTTCTTCCTAGTAGTGCTCATCTTATTTATTGCCTCCCCACTATTTCTGAGCTGTCTTTTTTACGATTATATTCTTGTAGTAATATGTTTAGAGGGTGAGCCTCGACCATCAGGTAAGGTTGCTTGTCTTGTGGCATGGAGGTCATGGGTTCCATTAGAATATTAAGTGTGTTTACTTTGTTCATATTGGATGACTTCCATTAGAATATTAAATGTATTTACTTATGAAACTTCTGTTTAATTTAATGTAGTTGGTCTTATTTAACAGCTTGCTCGTAGGGTTCGTGAAATGAGGGAAACAAGAACAGCACCTGTGGCTCAAAAATTTGCTCAAAAAATTGAACGAAAAGGTTCAGCAGTGGGTAGAAAAGGGCTTACCTACTTACAGTCATTCCCTCGTGGCATGGAATGTGTTGATCCACTGGGGCTGGGGTAAAGTTTATTATGATGTTTATCTTGTATAGCATCTGCATTGTTCTCATGTTGTTATCTTCCAGCTTTGTAGCCGGAACTATTTTCCCCATTTCTTCAGTTTTCTGAGGGCTTAATCCCAGTGTTTAATTGGTTTTGACAGTATCATAGACAACAGAACATTAAGGTTGATCACTGAGTCTTCAGATAGTTCTCCTAGGACTGACAAGGATAATCAGGATGGCAGCCTACGTGGTAATTATTTTTTGTTAGATACTATGAGTATTTACTTTTATTGAAGTCTTTTGTTATTCTTTTATTCTTCCATATGTATTAAATATTTTGTGACAAGAGTTGACTAAGAGAAAAGAAATGCCGAGGAAGTATTCTTACAATCAACCAGGACAGATGAGGATTATTATTATTTTTTGATAAAAAAAGAAATAATATTAGATGGTACCCATGAATACGGGTCAGTATATCATTTTTCTTTCAAACTAAAAGCAAGGAGTTAATCTTATGAGATATCTTATTAATATTGGAAGAATACATTTGTAAATCAAAATAATCTAGTCTGATGTGAACAGAATGCCAGTATGACATGGGTATCCTCTTTAAATATGATATTTGTTGACAGCATTTGTTATTGACTTTCAAAACCTTCCTTGTGAGAAGTCAGTTGTGTGGGCAGTGCAATAAAATTAAATGTGGGCATCGTTCTTTTATAAAAAAATGTGAATGCCAGAAGTGATTTTGAAACTAAAATTTATGCATGAATACTTTTCATATTAATGTTTAATAACGATAATGAGTATGTAGTTGTAAAGTTGTAACTAGTGTTGCATAAACTTTTAGCAATTGAGCTTTACTTTACATAAGCATGTAGCAATGAGTATTAGCTAGTGTTGTTTAGATTGTTTGGAAAATTTGTTTCTCCCCTTTTAATATATATTCTTGTTCTCTTTTTGGTTTGTGTTCATGTGCTTCTTCTTAAGTGTTCACAAGTCACAAATTTAATATCATTTTTGATGGCGTTATACAGAGAAGTTGCTGTATTTTTCGGAGAACTTTGATGCAAAGCTGTTCTTATCACGGATACATGCTAATACAAGTGCTGCTGATCTGGAGTCTGGTGCGCATGCTTTGAAAACTGACTTCAAAAGTCGTACTGAACAGCGGAAGCAGCTGGTTAAGGACAACTTTGACTGTTTTGTCTCTTGCAAAACCACAATCGATGGTATTGACTTGACTTTTTGGTTCAAAACATAATTTAGCTATGTAGAAGTAATATTTTATTCTTATGAGACAGGTAATCCTGTCATTACTGAAAATTAATTTGGTTTTAGACGTTAAGGCTATTTACTTGCTAGAACAATTGATGGAGAGATATCAAATGGGCTAAAGGGGCATACACATGGTTTTCATTGATTTGGAGAAGACATGTTATATGTGCCTAGAGAGGTATCATGAAAAGCTCTAGCGAAGAAAAGAGTTTAGATTGTCCACTGTTGAGCAATCAAGATATGTATGATGAAGTCAAACTCCATATGAGAACGCCAAATGGGGTTTCATAAGATTCCCTTATTGCTATAGAACTACAACTAGGGTCAACTTCGATTCCCTACCTTTTACATTGGTCTTGGATGTGCTTACTAAGCATATCCTATAACCGATGCCACAATGCATGCTTTCTGCCTGTTGTGGATGAAATTGGCCTTGTTTAAGACTGAAGAGAGAAATTAAATTGGAAGCTAGAAGCACATGACTTTCTTATAAGTCGAAGTAAGATGCACTTTATGTAGTGCAAGTTTAGCAAAAGGTAGAAAAAACTGTACTCTAGAGGCAAACATTAGAGAACATACCATATCGAACTTAATAGAATAATAGATTTAAGTATCTTGGGTCAATCATACAAACCAAATTAGAGAGATGTAAACCATAAGATTCAAGCGAGTTGAATGCAATGGCGGAGTGCTTCAGGTGTCATATGTGATAGAAATGTGTCACTCAAGCGTAAGGGAAAAAAATTACCACACAACTTTAAGACCCACATTGTTATGAGGTCGAATGTTAGGTGGTAAAATGTCAACAAAAGAATAAACTCAGTGTAATAAATATGAAAATGTTTCGTTGTATAGGTAGACACACTGGACAAGATAAGATTATGAATTAATGCATTGGGAGAAGTGGTGATAACCCATATTGCAAAAATGTTGATAGAATTGTGCCATAGATGGTTTGGTTATGTTGTAATATGTATGGAGGAGGCCATTAGAAGTCTCAATAAGGAGAGTAGATCAAATGGAGGTTGTCAATAAACATGATTCATGATAGAGCATTAATGCATCATTCAATCCATGTAGCCAGCCCCACCTAGTGGGACTAAGATTTGGTTGTTGTTATTGTAAATCTTAATAGTGTCATTACCTAAGCTGTTCTTTGATTTTAACATGAAACACTTTTTTTTGGGTTAATATAAGCACTTTTATAATTTGCAGATATTGAGTCAAAGTTAAGACGAATTGAGGATGACCCTGAAGGGTCTGGGACTTCCCATTTGTCTAATATCATTGAAGGAGTCAGTTCACAAGCTAATCGTGCTTTGAAGCCTTTACTTGAGAGACAGGTGGGTGAAGTCTAAGCTCTAGATTTCTTGTGCTGTTACTCTAGACTTTAGAGCAATTTTATTAATGACTCGTATG